CAACGTGCCCAAACCACCGAAGCACGACCTTATCAATTTTTGTGATAAGGTCATCTTTCAAACCTGCCATATTGCGAATCTCTTCGTTTCGCTTTCGGTCGGCCTTGGTAACGCCGCACATTTTACGAAGAGATCGCATCTCCACTGCATTCAACTTACTTTTATGCTTCTTCTGGCATACCCAGGTTTCGCTGCCATATACTAAAGTCGGTACCAACACTGCGTTATGTATTGCAAGGCGTGCACTCTTCGCTACGCCTTGCCTTTTGACTAACGCAGTCAGGGCACCATTGACTTTGTTCACGGCAGCGACACGCCTGTCCACATCTAAATCACATCTTCCATCCCGGCTAAAAGCACTCCCCAAGTATACAATTTCATTTACCTGTTCTAGACATTCCTGATTTACCCATATTTCACACTTCGTTCTCTCTTCGTCCCTTTCAAATACCAGAACCTTAGTTTTATTAGCATTCAAACGGAGACCTTTAATTTCACATTCCTCTTTCATACACGTGACTAATGCCTGCAGTTCTGCCTCTGATGGTGCAATAAGCACTGCATCATCAGCATACAGCAGACAATTTACTTTTATGTCACCCAATTTCACACCCAAACAGCTATCTTTCAGCTTCTGTAAACAGCTGTCGAGATACAGTATGAACAGCCAGGAAGACATGACACAACCCTGCTTTACGCCCGTTTGGACGTTAAACATGGGTGACAGGTCATGCCCTACCCGCACACAGGCTTTACAGTCACAGTAAAGAGACTGCACAGCCCTTAGCAATCAACCATCCACACCATACCCCGGCAACAGTTCCCACATTTTCTTCCTTACAACCTTATCAAATGCTTTCTCAAGATCCACAAAAGCACAGAAAATCTTCTGGTTAGCAGCCAGAAGCTTTTCCGTGATCATGCGGAGAGAAAACATTTGATCCGTGCATCCTCTTCCAGGTCTAAATCCGCATTGTGCCTCCCATAGAAATCTTTCCGATTTCTCTTGCATCCTACGTGTCAAAACCTTCGAGTAAACTTTACTTGCTAAACTAGTCAAGCTGATCGTCCGATAGCACCCGCAGTCAAAATGTGAACCTTTACCTTTATATAAAGGCACAATGACTGCGGATCGCCAATCATCCGGGACATCCCCCGTCCGCCAGCACAAATTGCACAGCAGACGAAAGCTGTCCCAGACGCGAGGCCCACCATACTTGACCATTTCAGCAGTAACTCTGTCTAGTCCCGCAGCCTTACCACATTTCAAACTTCGAATCGCACGTTCAATCTCTTTCATACTGATGACCTCAGTGTCATCGAGGTCCGGGTCTGGCGTACCAGTCACGGCGTTATCCCCGGATCCCTCACTAAGATCATCACAGGCATACATTTCTCTATAAAATTCGCTCCATCGCTGCATGACGTCCGATTTTTCTGAGAGGACGTCATTAGTTCTCGAAAGCACTTTGTTCATTCTTAAGGCCGTCGCACCACTTCGGGCCCTTCCAACCTCTTTCCAGAAGAGTTTGGAGTTCTCCTTAAAGTTGTGCGACAACCTTTCGTCCGCTTCCATTCTACACCTTTCACGCACTTCCTCAATCAGTGCTTTCGTGTGAACTTTCTGCAGCCTATATTTTTCTTTCATCTTCTCTCTCATATCCTTATCATTACTAGAGGCCAAGTAGTCTAACCATGCTTTCTTCTTCTTCTTTACAGCTTCTTTCACTTCATCATTCCACCATGCATCTCTTCTTTTACTACTGCCTCTTTTTATTGTTCCACACACTTCTTCCGCTGCACTTACCATTCCATCCCTAAGGTTCTGCCATGTTCTTTCTACACATTCTTTTCTGCCATCGATGGTGTCAAGCTTTTCAGCTACCCTCGCATGATATTTGTCCATAGTATCCGCTTCCTGAAGCTTCCAGCTTCGGATGCGACAGACTGACTGTGGTTCTGTTACTGCCGTCCGGTAGCGCCAAGCCGCGAACAGACCCCTAAATCTAGTAATCACTAGATAGTGATCCGTTCCCAGGTCAGCACCCCTGAACACTCGCGTATCCATCACCTGTTTTCGCAGTCGGTCATCCACCAGGAACAAATCGATCATACTTCTCTCATTCTTTCGTTCTCTAGTATACATATGGATTTTCTTGTGATTAAACATAGTGTTTGTCACAAGAAGACCCTTTTCCTTGCACACCGTCAGTATAAGCTTGCCAGCATCATTAACCCTTTTATCGCCAAACTTTCCAAGTACCGACTCGTACCCTGGTCGAGCGGTACCAACCCATCCATTCAAATCACCACATACAACAATTCTTTCGTTTCCCCTAGCCAAATCTAGAACTTCTCTTACATTCTCCCAAAACTCCTCCAGCTCAGCCCTGGACGACGAAGCTACCGGCGCATAAACAGCCAAAAGGAATAACTTCGTCAGTCCCAATTTAAAGCGAACCCAGAGAAGTCTTGAGTTCACAACCTTATATTCAGTCATAACATCGACCAACCGAGAAGACAGCAGCACCCCCACTCCCTGGCAGGCGTTCTCGCTCTCCGGGACTCCGGACCATAGAGCTAACGCCCCGCCAGGGAGCTCTTCAGTACCACTGCCCTTCCGTTTGGTCTCGACATACACACGACATCTAATTCTCTTTCTTTCATTATTTCGATCAACTCATTCGTCTTATCTCTCATGCCTCCTCTAACATTCCACGTGCCAACTCTACACTCTGTCCTCCACCTTCCGCCGTGTCGGGCCCACTTTTTGGGGAAAATGTCATTAACTTGCAAACATTACTCATTTGCTTGTGTACGTGTGGGCAAACGTAATTCCAGGCCGCTTATGCACACATTCATTGTGTTGTAGCTTCAACTTTGAACGGAATTTTGAATGTCACTATCACTCTATGTGTAATTAATCTAAGTGTATTATAATGTACATTTATTCTGTTTACGGCATAAATTAGGTGTTTTGAAAAAATGAAAGCAAAACAAAATAAAAAATAAATAAAAGGTAAAATGACTTCAAATAAAAGTCGAATTTAAGATGATTCATTCATTTATTTATTATTATAGAACGGATAAGCTAGGTATATACTTAATTAAAATATCATCTAACAGAGGTCAAACATCACCTATTGTAGATATTAAAATTTTTAATCGATACTTACTGTGAGTTAAATAAGATCTGACGCAAGATAAATAATTTGTGATCTTTCCAAGGATACCCTTATTTTTAAATATAATTGTTGAATAAACGTTTGAATTACTACAAACTAGATTGACTTAAACTACTGATGTGGGTAGAACATCAAATTTTATATAAGTGTATACTTAGTTTAAAGGGTGTTAGATTTGGCGATCGAAAGATACATTTGCAACTTCTGGCAAACACAGGCTCGTATCGCTTTAGATAGTGTTCCAATGTTCATACGACATATTTAACTCCATATAAATCCGTATAAATAGTAAGTTTTCCTAATTTTTATTTGTTAATGAGAGAAAGAGAGTAAGAAATTGAGAGAGAGAGAGAGAGAGAGAGAGAAAGAGCAAGATAAGAAGCCCCTTTAAAAGGAAGGCTCTTGATAACCTTGTTTAGTATTGTTTACCATTTCATGCCAAATATTGCCTAACAATGATATGTTTCAAATATCAATAATTTATCAATAATTCGTTGTGTCTATAGCCCGCATTTGACAAAAGTTTTTTATCACTCTTACAACACCGAAGACAATTAAGATATTCCAAAGATAGGGTATATGATAGATTGAGAGATCTGAATTATCTATACTAGAATTAATAAATTTTAATATAATTAACACACAATCTAACATTTAATCACATAGTTTTGATATGTTTGGGTAATTAAGCACCTTAATATGCTTTTAATGATATGTCCTCTAATATTTCGCTAAAAGGGTCTAAAAACATCCATAAACACTACAATACCGATCATATTAAAATAATTGTACTTTATCCAACTACAGATTATAATCTACAATAATTTATACTACCTTAAGATTTTAATGATATGTATCCATGGTCCTACTCTGGATTTTTTCAAAAGCCAGATATAAAGCGCATGCGTTCTTTATACGTTTCTTAATATTAATTCTAACTAGGGACAATTTCCATTTCGGCTTTATATCTCGCTTAGAACGGACACAGTTTCGATGGAGTCGCCTCTGATCTTTTGGGGAGCAAGTAATGGGATAAGTAAGCATTTCTAAGGGAGGGGCGACATTCGCAATACAGACACACATATCTTAAAAAGTTACGACCAGGGTTTGGAAGAGCCAAGTACTATATTACCGTAATTGTTCAAAATTGTTTTTATCATATACTTCTTTATACGGTGGATATGTTATAAAATTAATATTCTGAAAATTTTCTTTCCATAAGTTTAGATTAGTTTAGTATAAATACAAATATGTATATAAATATATAACATGACTAAAAACTGTATGAGTATGAGTATGTATGTTATATATAATTGTCCTTGGCCCTTCACAAAATATTGACGCGAGAATGTGTCCCCGACATAACTTTTAAGTCAACGGTTTTGAAAACTGTTGACAAAGATTTTAAATAGCGAAGCTTTATAAAAACATACCTAACTTACCTACAGTAATTTGAAAATTAATACCTCTCCCTATATCTATCGCAAAAAGTTACCTATTGCTTATGTTGCAACCGTAAATATATGTAAAATGAAGAAAGTATTCAAAAGATTTGAATATTTGTCGAGAGGCCATTGTTATCATAAAAGCGAGTCTACGTGGCCGGTTGTAGAAGTCGCTTTCAGCGATGAACGAGAACCTCTCGATACTAAAATCATCAACCATACTTCAATCGCACCAGGGTTCAGAAGAGAAGAGACAGTTTTAATTTCTCTTGAATTTAAAAGAATCGTAAGGAAGGTAGCTGTAGAATGATGAGCTTATGGGAGCATATTGGACGACGTGGTAGTAATCAGAGGCTGACTCCGGCGCTATTCAATCAAGGAAACCGGTGTTCACCAGTTTCTCCAGGAAGAATTTCACGTCTCCCAATTCGGAGTCCTTGATACCGAGGGACTTCAGCATTCCGAGGTCGCCGTTCTCGACAGCCATGAAGACGGAGCGGAGGTGTTCCAAGTCCGATCTCATTAGATGCAGAGCTGCTCCGAAGTCTTCGATAGTTTGAGATTCTGAAATATATTTAAAGTTAAATTAAGATTTCTTTATATTGTACAATACTCTAATAACTTTATTTCTACTAGAAAATCTTACAACTAAATGTATTTTGATGCCATTAAAACGTCTCCCTATATACCTTTTATGTTCTACATGTTCATCTCGAATCTTTACATTTTACCTACTTCTTCTATAAATCATTTTCAGTTACAGCTGTATGCTTGTGAAAATCCTTGCCTTTATATATTCGGCGTGCTCAGTCTCTTTTTTCGTTTAAAATCTACTTTAAGTTTATTGCGCGGAGCTCTAATATTTCCCATCATACTTTCCGTCCTTTGTTGTACCTACCCTTATCTGTCATCATCTTGTGTTTTTTTAAATTGTCTAATTTTTGTAAAACTTCCCTGTATGTCTTTCGTTGTAAACAACCGTTCGTTGTTTGTTTGGAAGTGTATGCGTGCGTGCGTGCATGTGTGCGTGTGTGCGTATGTGTGTATGCGTGTGTGCGTGTGTGCGTGAGTGAGTGCGTGCGTGTGCGTGTGCGTATATGCGCGCGCACGCGCGCGCGTTTGTGTGTGTGTTGGTGTACAATAAAGAATATATTGATTAATTGATTGACTATTGAGTTGTCGAAAACTGGGCAGATTTGACAACTGAGTCATGGCTTCTCGTGTTCCCTGTAAAAGAATCCATCACTCAATTTCTTCCCGTAGGTGTCGTAAAAAGTGACAATGAAAAATGCTAGAAAAATCTTATCTTTATACATGGAATACTTGTGTGTTGTTGCCTTGCGTATGTGGACTATGAGAAAGCTTTGATTCCGTTGAAATTTGGGCGGTAATTTAGTCCCGTCAGTGGTACCAAGATTAAATTAATATTTTTTAATCTGGATGTAGCCGTGGTTAACTATGACATTGGGACGTCAAACATCTCAGTACCCCCGTGACCATGGGTGCGGTTAAGTACTCGAAACGTCGGGAATATAAAATAAGTTAATATACGCGATAAAATCCGCAAAACTAGTTTTATTTAAATAATGAAGTTGTTGTTGAAGTAATGTGTTTTGTTCGATTTCTATTATAAGTGGTGACAGGCGTTCTGGAAACTGTAGTACGAGTACCATGTATCTCGCACTTCTACGCTGTTCTTCGGCTACGGGTTGTATATTTCATAACTGGTATATACCAGATGGTTTATAGGCATCAATCGTAGATCAAGAGGTCTTTCTGGCCTATCTGTTATGGCAAATTAGGGTGGGATTCTTTTACGGCAGTATTACATGGTTTTTATTTTTATTATATAGAACTAACTGGTACCCAACGCATTACTGCCGCAGAAGAAATAATAGTGAAAAATGTAGTTTTATATTTAGAAGAACCTTCTCATAAGTGCAAGCAATAAGTTGATAAAGATTTAACATAATCTGTGGACGGTATGGCAGCGCATAAAATACGAAAAAACAAATATTAATTTTTATATATTAGGTAAGGGTGATAAACAAGCACAAAGTCACCTGATGGTAAGTGGATACTGTGGTCCCTGAGGGCTAAGATAGAATGCATCATTTCTAGTAAAAAGGTTCTTAGACCTTTATACTCGACATACGAAATACAGCATTAAGCTGCTATTTCAGATGCGGTCCTTCACTGCTGGCCGTATGAGGACGCTCAAAGTCGCTCAGAGCTATGAAGAGGGCTTTGCTCGGGGTTTCTCCGGGAAATAAACTTAGAAATGAGGATATCCCCAGTAGAATCAGAGTAAATGACATAGCCCAACGGATTAGTAAGCTGAAGTGGCAAAGGCCCGGCTAATAGCCGAGCTATGGCTAGCTCGAAGAACCGACCATCGATGGCGAAGAAAGTTTCTCCAGTGGCAGCCTCGTACAGGTAGGCGAAGTGTAGGGCAGCCACCGACTAGATGGAGTGACGACCTGGTAAGACATGCAGGAAGTCAATAAAGGCTCGGGACGGTGTTGTGTGGCATTCCTTGGGGAAGGCCTATGTTCAGCAGTGGACTTGTGATGGGCTGGAATGATGTTGATGATGATGATGATTTTGTGAGAGCGTGGTTCTTCCCTGATCGAACAGACCCATTCGTGCAATAATCGTAATATAGCTGCAGTGTGACTCCACCACCAATGATATAGTAGTATAATTTAATTTAGTTAATTTTTAAAATTAGTCATATTAGTAAATACCCACCAGACAGGGCGATGGCAACTTTCTCAACCCCACCAAGTGGTTCCAGTGCATCACGCGCTTTGCTTCCGAATAGCTTCTCCAGATAATTGGGTCCATGTGAGGCCAACAACGATTGGAGAAAAGATGCTGTTTCTTCAACTGGCGGTCTTTTTGCTGTAAACAAATAATCTCTTATTATTTTTTTGTTATTGCTTGAGCGAATGGAGTCAGTTTTCTCTGTAAAGTTGTTTTAAAATAAATATTATTATTTCTGCTATATTGCTTATGGTGAATCATGAAGACTGGATATTCTTTTTTACTAGTAACGAGGCTTTCCTCAGGGCTGACGCATTTGTATTTTTTTTATAGTATAAGGGTGACGAACGAGCACACAGTGCACCTAATGGTAAGTGGATACTGTGTCCCATAGACATCTGAGTTTCTCATCAATTAAGAATTAAAATGTATTTTTATTTTTTGATTCTCAATTATCGATACGTGTAGATGTAGGTGTATATAATGGGACACAGTATCCACTTACCATCAGGGGGGAGTGCTCATTTTGTCACCATTACCTGTAAAAAAGGTGTTTCGAACTTAATAAAACTTGCAAATAAAATTAAACTTTTAATAAAAAGTAAAAACCGATTTCAAAAAAGTAACTGAAATGGATAAAATAATTTCAACAAAATGCCTTCTAAAGTGAATGCTAAGCCGTGACTTTTCTTTCTATAGGATAAGGGTAACTTGTAAGAAGAATTGCTGTGGCTCAGAGACATCTACATCCATCTTCAATCACGATTCAAAATGCAAATGCGTTGTCACCCATGAGGACTAAGGTAGAATGCCTTGTATCCAATAGAGCCGACCCATTCGTGCTACAACTATACTACTAATATAGCTGCACATGGCTCTACCACGTATTAAAACAGTGTAACAGCACACATAGTGAATAGAAGAATTCCCCTTCAGAAGCTGTTACGTGGAAATAATTTTTTTAGTTATTTGAAGTTTGCTTTTACTTTTTATTAACAGTTTCATCCCCAAGCTTAATATAATAAACTAGAATATCGCCCAAATAAATACAATAAAAACTACATCCCCAATTTTCATCATCAAATGTGATTTTTTTCTCTTAAAATTTTATGGCACCACCCTTGAGGTATAACCTATTTAATAAGAAAATTAAAATTAAAATCGATTCACAACTGACGAAGACATCGCGTAAGATACGAGTACATACAATAAAAAGAGAAAAATAAACATACTGCCGAATTTAGGTTCTCCATATTCTTTGAAGTGGGCGTATAATAAAATGTAGAACGGTAACGACAAAGTAGGTACACATATTTTTAGTAAGTTAAAGCAAACACAATTTGATGTTTGACATTCGATTACGGCGGAGGGGAAATTACATCCTGTTTCGTCCTCTGCAGACTTTTTACAGTCAGTAACATTGATAGAAAACTGTATACGTAAATCTATGGGAATGACATATGACATCAACGAAAAAAAAAACGAAAAGAAATATCGTAGACAAGTTTTGTCCGAAATAATAGAACAGAATGTATATGACATATATTTTACAAAACGCCATCTGCTCCGGCTTCACTTCGTTGTTTAGATTTAAATAGTCAAAGACCATTTACTTCAGCAATTTATCGTTTTCTTGAAGTGAAACTTTTTTTATAGAATAAGGTGACAAACGAGCACACAGTCCACCTGATGGTAAGTGGTTGCTGTGGCCCATAGACATCTACATCTATCCTCGCTTGCGAATAAAAATGCAGATGCGTTGTCACCCGTGAGGCCTAAGATGGAATGCCTCTTTTCCAGTAAAAAGGGTCTCCGGTTCTCTACACTCACCATACGAAACCTTCCTTACCCGGTTGAGCCGACCCATTCCTGCTACAACTATACTACTAATATAGCTGCAGCATGGCTCTACCACGTATAAAACTACAAAAATTAAAAGAAATATCGTAGACAAGTTTTGTCCAAAATAACAGAACAGAATGTATATGAAATATATTTTACAAAATACCACCTGCTTCGGCTTCACGTAGTTATTTAGATTTAAGATAGTCAAAGACCATTTACTTCAGCAATTTATCGTTTTCTTGAAGTGAATCTTCAAAATGAAAAGAAATACCGTAAACAAGTTTTGTCCGAAATAATAGAACAGAATATATGACATATATTTTACAAAATGCCACCCGCTTCGGCTTCACTTCGTTATTTAGATTTAAGATAGTCAAAGACCATTTACTTCAGCAATTTATCGTTTTCTTGAAGTGAATCTTCAAAATGAAAAGAAATACCGTAGACAAGTTTTGTCCGAAATAATAGAACAGAATATATGACATATATTTTACAAAATGCCACCCGCTTCGGCTTCACTTCGTTATTTAGATTTAAGATAGTCAAAGACCATTTACTTCAGCAATTTATCGTTTTCTTGAAGTTACTTACTTATCTTCACGCACAATCCCTGACGGGGTAGCCAGAGAGAACAGATCGCCAAGTGTCACGATCCTTACAAACCTCTTTCGCTTCTTTCAGATTCATTATCTTCTTCATGCATGCACGTCTAGGTATCCGAGTACTTTTGACCCTACCCTCTTCGAGCAATTTGCTCACATGGTCTTCGAAAGTTAGTCTCGGTCTACCTCGACACCTTTTAATATTAACTTTCGCGCTATATATTTTCTTCACCATTCGGTCTTCACTCATTCGCTCAACGTGCCCAAACCACCGAAGCACGCCCTTATCAATTTTTGTGATAAGGTCATCTTTCAAACCTGCCATATTGCGAATCTCTTCGTTTCGCTTTCGGTCGGCCATGGTAACGCCGCACATTTTACGAAGAGATCGCATCTCCACTGCATTCAACTTACTTTTATGCTTCTTCTGGCATACCCAGGTTTCGCTGCCATATAACAAAGTCGGTACCAACACTGCGTTATGTATTGCAAGGCGTGCACTCTTCGCTACGCCTTGCCTTTTGACTAACGCAGTCAGGGCACCATTGACTTTGTTCCCGGCAGCGACACGCCTGTCCACATCTAAATCACATCTTCCATCCCGGCTAAAAGCACTCCCCAAGTATACAATTTCATTTACCTGTTCTAGACATTCCTGATTTACCCATATTTCACACTTCGTTCTCTCTTCGTCCCTTTCAAATACCAGAACCTTAGTTTTATTAGCATTCAAACGGAGACCTTTAATTTCACATTCCTCTTTCATACACGTGACTAATGCCTGCAGTTCTGCCTCTGATGGTGCAATAAGCACTGCATCATCAGCATACAGCAGACAATTTACTTTAATGTCACCCAATTTCACACCCAAACAACTATCTTTCAGCTTCTGTAAACAGCTGTCGAGATACAGTATGAACAGCCAGGAAGACATGACACAACCCTGTTTTCTTGAAGTGAAACTTCAAAATGAAAAGAAATACCGTAGACAAGTTTTGTCCGAAATAATGGAACAGAATGTATATGACATATATTTTACAAAATGCCACCTGCTCCGGCTTCACTTCGTTATTTAGATTTAAATAGTCAAAGACCATTTACTTCAGCAATTTATCGTTTTCTTGAAGTGAAACTTTTTTTTTATAAAATAGGGTGACAAACGAGCACACAGTCCACCTGATGGTAAGTGGTTGCTGTGGCCCATATACATCTATCCTCGCTTGCGAATAGAAATGCAGATACGTTGTCACCCGTGAGGCCTAAGATGGAATGCCTCTTTTCCAGTAAAAAGGGTCTCCGGTTCTCTACACTCACCTTACGAAACACAGCAGTGTTAAGCTGCTATTTTACGCTGGTATTCTGTGAGAGCGTTGTCCTTCCCCGGTTGAGCCGACCCATTCCTGCTACAACTTTACTACTAATATAGCTGCAGCATGGCTCTACTACGTATAAAACTACAAAAATGAAAAGAAATGTTGTAGACAAGTTTTGTCCGAAATAATAGAACAGAATGTATATGACATATATTTTACAAAATGCCACCTGCTTCGGCTTCACGTAGTTATTTAGATTTAAGATAGTCAAAGACCATTTACTTCAGCAATTTATCGTTTTCTTGAATTGAAACTTCTTTAGTATCGTTTTATAAAGCAATTTCTTCCAGACAAGAAAATTGTAGACAGGCTAAGATTTATACGTACGTGGTATTGCCATGCTGCAGCTATATTACTGGTACAGTTGTAGCACAACCGGGCTCGACCGGGAAAGGACCACGCTCTCACAGAATATCGGCGTAAAATAACAGCTTTAAGATGCTGTGTTTCGTATGTTGAGTGTAGAGAAACGGAGACCCTTTTTTAATGGAAACGAGCCATTCCGTCTTAGTCCTCGGGGGTGACAATGCATCTGCATTTTGATTTGTAATCGAGGATAGATGTAGATCGCTAGGGGCCACGCTCGTTTGTCACCCTTATTCTATAAAAAAAAAAAACAGTGTACACACGCCAACAAAATAAAAAACTAGAAACCGAATTAGTTTTATATAATTAAAATACATAATGTCTGAGTACCGAAACAATTGAAGAAAATATCACATTAATATATCAATAAAAACAGTCAAATTAAAACCTTCTTTTTTTGAAGTCGGCTAAATATAAATGCTTTTAAGTTGGATGTGTTTGTATTCACGTACTATATCGCGATGCTACATCGTTAATGGACTATAAAGCTAAAATAACAAAGTGAAAGCTCGCGAAAGCTCTGAGGGAAATTGCTCCTGGTAGGTTTTTCGCTACGTTTACAACACTTTTCGAGGAAGTAATTCAACGCATTTGAAATGTTAAAAAAATAGATTTCCTTTTCCTGATAGCTCCTTTAATGGAGGCAACAAATCTTTAGTGACAATAAATCCAGATTATTTATTAGGCAGGGTAGAGTGTTAGACATTTTAATCACCTGAAAGACCTACTTGCTAGTGGACCTGGAGGTAACAGGATTTCTATCATCACTCAAGAGCTCATCGGTATAGCGGGAACTTTGACTTACTTCATTCTCTTACTTCCCGGCCAATGCATAAGTAATAAATCCGTATACAATTAAAAATCAAATTAAAAACTTATATAAATTTTAAATGAAATTAATTTATACGGATTCTGTCGCTTTTAATTTAACTTTTTAATTCCTGACGTTTTGGGTGTTTTGTCATTATTTAGCCCGGCTACCTTCCGGTTTTGAATATTATTTATATTAATTTTTGGTCCGATCTACGCAGAATGATCAGCGAAGACACATTAGGATACTTAACCCAGTTTTTTCTATTTTATTCGATAACCACTGTCCAAATACAATTAAAAAAAACATAAGTTTGACAGACAGCTTCGTATATCGAGGACTCTAGCTCTCTTTACACCACTTCACCTTTCGAGTTTCATATCTTCATCCTTTTCTGTCCAAGCCGCGCGCGCATGGAATGACTTGCCTTTTTTATAGGAGAGGGGGCAAACGAGCATGCGGCTTAACTGATGGTAAGTGACTACTGCCGCCCATGAACAACCGCAACACCAGGGGAATTGCAGATGGGTTGTTCCTAAGTCGTATCGGTCCGAAAAAATCGCTGGTGGTAATCGATTCCACAAGGGAGTTGTGCGAGGAAGAAAACATCTTCTAAATCGCACAGTGGTGGACCGCCAATCATACAGGTGGTATGGATGGTATCGCAAGTTTTGTCGCGATGTGCGATGGTGAAATTGAGCGGCTGGATTAGTCCGAAAAATTCCTCAGAGCACTCCCCGTGACAAATGTAATAAAATACGCAAAGAGATGCAACATCTCTACGCAGTGCCAGTGTATCGAGCCGATCAAAAAGAACTCGGTCGTCGACGATTCGAACTGCTCTGCTCTGCACTGGATGCAGTCAAGTGAAAGGAGCTGTCACTGGGGTGTCCCGGCCCAGAGATGAGAACAGTATTCCATGTGAGGCCGGATTTGCGCTTTGCAAAGTTGCTTGCGATGTGCCGGCATAAAATACTGCCTCGCTCTGCTGAGCACGTCAAGTTTTTTAGACGCCAGTTTAGCCTTCCCTTCCAAGTGACCACGAAACTGCACACACTGCACATATTCGATATGTCGACGCCGAGGATTTCGATGCTAGCTGAAGCAGCAAGGGGAGTGCCTTGAAACTGAGGAGATACGACATAGGGGTTCTTTTTATCGGTAAACGCGCATACTTGTGACTTCTGGGGCTTGAACTGGACTAGTAGACTGGACTAGTCGCCCCTAATCCGAGACTTTGTTCAGCAAAGACTCGACTTCAGATACAAGTTTGTCCCGATACTCGGCGACGTTTTCTCGAGAAATATTGGCACGGCCGGTACATAAGGCAACGTATCATTTGCAACATATCATTGATATGCAGGAGAAACAGCGTTGGTGATAGCACGAAGCCTTGTGGAACACCAGCGTTGATAGGTTTGAAATCAGAGCATGCACCGTCTACTACGACCTTGATGCTGTGATCAGCAAGGAAACTGGTGATCCATTTGCACAATTTCTCGGGAAGCCCATAGGAAGGAAGCTTCGAAAGAAGCGCTTTGTGCCAGACCCGATCGAAGGCCTTGCTATGTCCAAACTAACGGCCAATGCCTCCCCCTTGGACTCTACTGCCTCCGCCCATCTATGAGTCAGGTAGACCAGAAGATCACCAGCTGATCGACCTCGACGAAAACAGTACTGGCGGTCACTAATCAGCGGGTGATCCTCAAATCCTCAATGGATTCCATTATTTTGGAGAACAAGGAGGTTATGGCGATAGGCCTGTAGTTGGACGGGTCTGAGCAGTCGCCTTTTTTAGGGATCGTGTGGACCAAAGCTGTCTTCCATGAATTCGGGACTACGCCTTGGGAGTAAGAGTACCGGAAAAGATGCGTTAAAACCGGTGCCTACTGCGGAGCACACGTCTTCAGCACAATGGGAGGGACTCCATCAGGCCCACTCGACTTGCTGACGTCCAGGGAGAAGAGTGCTTTACGAACCGAGCGCTGTGTAAATTGCACATCCGGCATGGAGCACTCACACCACGGGATGGTCGGCGGTGTGTTCCCCCCGTCATCTAGAGTCGAGTTGGACGCAAAGAGAGAGCTTAAAAGATCGGCTTTCTCATTTGCGGCATGGGCCAGTGAGTCGTCCTCTCTGTGCAGAGATGGAGGAGATGACTGACAGAAGTTCCCTTGGATAGCCTTGGCGAGAGACCAGAATGCACGGGTTCCCGAAGGAAGGCGAACTAGCTTCTTGCCAATTCTGCCAATGTGCTCAAGCCTTACCTTGGCAATGACGCTTTTGAAGGACCTGGAGGCGGAATTATACATCTTTTTAAGTGCGCTGGTGTTTACATCCCGAGACGTTGCTGCGTCAGCTCAGGCCCGGTAGCACTCCTGCTTATAGCGTGATGCTATATTACAGGAGTGACCAAACCATGGCTGCGATCTACCTCCGATGGCCACCACAGAGGATGGAATAAAAAGTTACATACCTTGAAGTACCACATCAGCAACAGAATCGGCAACAACGCTTGGATTTTCCGGCGAAAAGCAGACCTGCGCCCAGGGGTAGGATGCAAAAAAGACCGCATCCCGTCCCAATCGGCCGACCTATAGTGCCAAACACGGCGGCAATCTGCAGATCGCAACTGCGATGGGAGCGTGAGTGGCACCGTACTCCGGATAAGACAATGGTCCGAAGAACCCAGAGGGGCATCGACGGAGACCTGATATCCGTCCGGATGAGCGGTCAGCATAAGGTCCAACAGGGAAGGTACATGATTCTACACATCTGGGATCCGCGTAGGCGAAGTAACCGGTTGTTTTAGACCATATGCCAAGGCAAAGTCATAGACAGATCTACCAACCAAGCCATTCAGCGTGGTGGGCGTTAAAATCACCGAGTATCACGATCTCTGCGGATGGGACGTGTTGTAGTACGGAGTCTGCAGCCATTTGGACGTGGTCGATGAGTCGGTCTGTATCGTCATTACCGCTATGGGACCTATAGAGGCACCCGTAGACGCGGGGATGGCCGTCGCTGTCTACGCACAGCCATAGGATGGACAGGTCCATACCTTCAAGACTGCCGAGGTGTCAAAAACAGATGTCCTCTCTGACGTATACGCAAACCCCAGTCCAAGGCACAAAGGAGTGTTCTAATTTGTACCCCGGGTAGGAGGGATATCAAGTATCAGCCGGAGAGGACACCTGAGTCTCGGTTAATAAGAGCAAGGCCGGCTTCGCCGTCTCTAGATGGTAATGGACAGCGTTAAGGTTGGAATGAAGTCCCCTGATGTTGCAAAAATTCACGGATAGCGTGACA